CACTCAGGTGCCCCATCTGTGACCTGTTTTAAGAGGGAATCTGGGATTCTGCTGTGCTCCAGGCTATCAGGAGGCTAAATGAGCTCTCCTGGCATATGTTATTAAGTACCAATTTGGAGACCACCCACCAGCCCCACTGGTACAATCCCCACTCCACAATGACCTCGGGGAGTCCAAGCTGTCTGCCTGCTGCTGTTTCCATTTTTAGTAGAGTCCAGCCTCTCCTATCTCCACCCAAGTGCACAGTCACACAGCAAAGCTGGGCTTTGGTTCTCTACTGACACGATCAGAAAGCCAAGCCCAGTAGGAAACAGCAACCATGGCAAACACAAACCTAGCCCAGGCACACACGAAGGAACACCAGTGCCGGGTCCTTGTTGCTAGCCATCTGGGAACTCCCCTTTGCCAAGGGCCCGTGGCAACTGTAAATCCTGAGCTGTACCCGCAGTTATTAACCACAAGATCCACTACAAAATAAGATGCTACGATCTTTGACAGGAGCTTAACTGAGCTGACATTGTGTGTAAGGCTGTGAATCCACCTAAGAAGGTCCAGGAGGTAGAAGTGAGAAGGTCTCTGAGAATTAGCAGGGGGACTGAAAGGGGACATGACCACAGGTCTGCAATGGGGAGAACCTAGCATCACGCAAGTTCAAGGGACAGCAGTGTCTAGTGGGCCTCAAATTTCTACCGTTGGAGGATCACTTCTTCCAGGGAAAGAACCTGAGAATTTTTTACTTTACCCAGTTCTATGAGTCATTCCTCCTTCGCCTCCCCCAAAAGGCAGAAAAATAATTCTGTCAATGGATGGATGCATAAACAAACATAAAATGGAATATTATTCAGCCTTAAAGAGGAAGGAGATCCTAACACTTGCGACAATTCTGAGGACGTTATGTTAAGTGAAATAACAAGTCACAAAAGGACAAATACTGTATGCTTCCACTTAAGTGAGTTACCTAGAGTAGGCAAATTCATAGAGATGAAAAGTAGAACAGTGGTTACCGGGGGCTGGAGGGAGGGAAGGCAGGATGGAAAGTTACTGTTTGTTATGGAATTTCTGTTTGGGATGATGGAAAAGTTCTGCAAATGGATGGTGGTGATAGTTGCACAACATTGGGAATGCACTTAATGCCACTGAATTATACACTTAAAAATTGTTTAAAAATGGTAAATTTTATATTACGTATATTTTTCCACAGAAATTTTTTTTTTTTT